CTAGCTAGCGGCGCTTTAATACTTTTACGATCAAACTCAAAAACACGAATGTCAACGCTTGAAAGCTTGGTGCTCCAATTCTAGCCAACATGGGGTTGCGACTGAATCACTTTCCCAAAGCGCAAATTTTCTATCACAGAAAGACAAAACCATACATATAGGTTTGACTTTATTATCAATCTTTACACGAATCACCAAAAAAACTTTTGCTCCAACCTGATATACATGTCGAATATACCTGTACACGTCTATTTTCGATGTGTATGGTTCAGGATCCTCTAAGTTGTTCAGCTCCGGCGCCATGTACAATTCCGTACCGATGTCCTTTGTCAGCGCTAAATCTTACTTATTTCAGCTAATTCATTTTCAAAAACTTCTGGTACGTCAGACCTTGTTCGGAGCCTGAAGCAAATGCACCTGCGCCTGGGGTTTCTGATGTTAGCGATAGCAACCCTTTGGTTGCAAGGCCAAAATCTCCTATTTTTACGTGTCCCTCATCATCGAGCATAATGTTAGTCTTAAAAACAGTTATTGTGAATTGTGGGAGGTGAGTGACAATGCCACGGTACAAACCGGCTTGATATCTCGATGGATCATGCCTTGGCGATGTAGGTAGCCTAACCCGCAGAGAATTTCAGCAAAAAGTTTCCACAATATATTAGGTTTGCCATACAAACACGCATTATCGATGTATTTCCTCAGCGTTCCTCCTCCACAATACTCCATTTGTATGTACAACACTCGCACGGAGGCTGAGCTCTAAAAAACAGAGGCTGAGCAAAAAAATTGTAGTATACGAGTGTTTGAGTAATTATCCTATACCTTGTATTTGTTACTGGGAGACATTTTCGATGAATTTTTCGGGTCACTGCTACTGCTGAGAAAACTGGATTCGGCACTTTCGTTCAGCGAAGATGTGTTGCCAGAAGTATTCATTTCGTTTTCAAATAGGACGTCCTGACAGGTAATCGTTCACTCAAATGACATGTTACAGGCGATGTAAAATATAATTGCCCAAGGTCGTTTTCGCTGGATTCCGACGCGCTATGAGCGCTTCACAGGTGATAATAAATAAGCGTGCACCTTTTTAGACGTGATTTTATGAATTCTTTGTGTCAGTTTCGAGCAAAAATTCTGTAACGTTAAAAAGCGTACAAAGTGTAAACGCTGAATTTTGATCCACAATCAAAAGATGGATTTTACAAACTACTTTCGTAAGATTCTACTCACAATGCTCGACTGTTCTTTCTGTTCATCCGTCTGAGGTGAATCTTCCTCACTTTCTTCGTCTTCTTCGCTTTCATCCTCTGACGATGAAAGCATCTCGCCTGCAAAAGCTTCGTCATCGCGCTCGTTTATAGAATTAACAAGTCAAGATTTCACCTTTGCAACTAGCCGTCCATTCTTTAGCCTCGATTTCTAGTCCTTCGGCTGCACCTTCTAGGTTTCGAAGTCGCGATGGTAGCATCGAATCTAGCAAGAAATGAATTTCACAGAAAGAAGTTCATATTACGTATCATACTATGCAGCGCAATTTTCCTAGGATACGAGATTACTTCTGTTCTTCGTTTCGTTTCTATTTGTTCACCAGACTAAATAAGTGAACGAAACAAAAATTGAAGTATTGCTGGCATTCAAAAGAAAATACAACCAAGCTTGAAGGCAGCGTCCCTCAAGTCGGTGAGTACTGGAATTTCACAGCTCTGTGTGGCGGACTCCCCAACTAATCTACTATAGTGAAGTTATTAGGTAAAGGTATTAGTGAAGTTTGGAGCGAAAAGGCGCTTTTGGAATCCAAAATCCACTCTGGAAGCCTTCCGGAGCCCACCCATTTCCAGACCCGCCCACTTCTTACATGTAATGTGGAGCAAACGCGGACACGGAGAGCTTTGAAAAAACTCATTTTTTGCCATTTACAAACGCTGAAAAGCTTAGATATGGCTTTAATGGCGAGAAGCTCCGAAAAGGTAAAAAAGCGGAGAGCGAAATTTTACCGGGATACTGCCTTTATGTGAAGGGTGAAGAGGGAGGGGTAGGGAGCTATTTGTACATTCATGCACATTTCATTCACATTGAGAGAAAAAAACAAACCATCTGTGTCAAGCCTTCGATGTGGCGGTGATTCTTCCTTCTCTGGTGACTGAGGACTGACGCTTCGCTTAGGCAATACAGTCACGGATTCGATCCAGGCGCTACACAAGGAATTCAGGAGAAAACAATAATACTTCAGAGACGTTACTTACTTGAAATAACGCACAATATTGGGATGATTCAACTTTGAGAAAAATTTCGCCTCTCGAGTGATCGTTCTTGAAAATTGGTCATTGGGCAAAGTTATGCATTTGACTGCGTAATTGCTCCAATCCAATTTGTTTCTGCAAAGATTATGCTTGGAAGATTAAGACTGAAATGGCAAAAACCTTACCTCGCCTGGTACACTTCACCGAATGCTCCAGCCCCAATACATCGTTGTATTATAAATTCTTTGGAAAACCTCGTATCACTTTGCTGAACAGCCGCACGAGGCGAATCAACGGACAGATCAGGCACAACATCAACTGAAAAAGCGGATTAGTT